AGAAAAACTTTTAACCTAATTTTTAAAAAGTAAAGGTGAATTCAGAAGCCATGTTGAGTATGAGATTCCATATTATTATTAACCATATGCATTTTACATTCAATGTATTTATTAATTTTAGTACAGTTCCCCAGACAGGAGGAATGTAAAAAAGAAGAAGATATAGAAAGGAAAGGTATAACATTTAACTCACTTCCATTCTTCAGATGGTTGGAAAGAAGCGTATGATAGTACACTCTCACTATTTTATCAATAGGAAATGTCAGATTTTAAATAAAAACTATCAGATTTTAGTGAGATGATCATAATAGCTTGCAATTTTTGGAGTGTTTGGTATATGCTAAGCACGTAACATTATGATGTTGTCCATCTCTTCCTCACAGCCACCTGATAAGGTGGCAAATCTTATTATTCCCATTCATGCGAGAGGAAACTAAGGGTAGCAAGGTCCAATTGCTGGCCTGTCTCCCCAAGCAAGTCCCAAAGCCAGAATCTGCACCCAGACACTTCTCCTAAATACCCAGATCTCGTCTTCTCTCTCTCTCTTTTTTTTTTTTTTTTGGCCACGCTGCACAGCTTGTGGGATCTTAGTTCCCCGACCAGGGATCGAACCCTGGCCCACGACAGTGAAAGCATGGAGCCCTAACCACTGGACTGCCAGGGAATTCCCAATCTCGTCTTCTCTTGTAACCTGAATACAATGGCCCCATTCATTTCTTCCGTATGTCTCAAAGCATTTAATATACTAACATACAGAACATGCTGTCAGAATTTTTTGACAGGTCAGTCTATGTTTTACGGATATGGGAAATAATTCAGAGAGAGAATAAGAGCTTTGCTGTTTTTTTGCAATAGGATAGCATCCAACACCAGATGGAAGCCCAGGTTCCCACTGTTCTTTACAATATACCAGGCATATCGTGAACACTGTGATAAAGTACTAAAATTGCTCTGTTCTGTAGTCAGTCTATTGATGAAGTTTACCGTGGGACGCAATTCACTCAACGAATGTTTACTGAGCAGGACCCGCTTCGTTCCAGGTATTTTCAAAATAGCAGTGAAAGAAGGCTTCCATGAAGCTTGTCATCTAGAGGGGTCAGGGAGACAGTAGATAAACTCAGATAAATAAACAAGACCATGGTAAGTGTTTTTAGGAAAATAAGGTCATGATATGAAAGAAGGGCATGGGGTAAGGGCCTCTATGGACCAGGGCTCTGAGCCGATGTTTTAGGTAGCAAGATCCCAATGACAAGGAGGAGGCAGAGTGAGCAGAGCATTCCAGGCCGGGGGGAGCAATAGCGCAAAGGCTCTGTGGTAGGAAAGTGTTTGGGATGTTGAAGACGCAGAAAGAAACCAGTGTACCAAGCAGGGAGGTTAGCAGTAGGGAAAGAGATGGATGGGAGATTGCACCAGTCTTGGATTCTGTTGGAGTTTAGGTTCTGCCCAAGATACCATAAGGAAACAGCTGTGTATTTTTAAGCGTAAGAGTGATATGCTTTTGATTTACATTTCAAAAAGCTCACTCAAGCTGCTGTTAGAGAATGAGTTATAAAGGGGAAGGAAGGAAACAAGAGTTAGCAGTTACTGTGTAGAAATGATGATGGCTTTAGACTAGGGTAGTAGCTAACAGGGAGCTCTTTTTTTTTTTGTGCAGTGTGCGGGCCTCTCACTGCTGTGGCCTCTTCCGGTTGTGGAGCACAAGCTCCGGACGCGCAGGCTCAGCAGCCATGGCTCACAGGCCCATCCGCTCCGCAGCATGTGGGATCTTCCCGGCCCGGGGCACGAACCCACGTCCCCTGCGTCGGCAGGCGGACTCTCAACCACTGCGCCACCAGGGAAGTCCCAGGGAGCTGTTTTGATGCACCAGACATCTTATTAGGTGGTAGGATGCAGAAATTAACAATATAAACCCCTCTCCTTATGGAACTCACAGATTAGCAGAAGGAGTCTGAGAAAAAATGTTGTAATATTCAGTTGTGTTGATGAGTGTTGACCAGGCCTGTGCAAGGAAGGGATTAGGAAAGAAGGGTGATCTTGACAAAGGACTTAGCATGTACAAAGCACGAGTGAGCATGACATATTTGTGAAATTTACATATAGGACGTAAGGAATGAAGGTTATGTCTGAAGACGTAGCAAGAGTAAAGGCTAAAAAGTAGATCAAGGCACAAAAGGCATTTGTTTGTTATTCTAATGAATTTAAACTCCTGTCTTGAATACAAAAAATAGTATCAAGATCAAGTGTACATTTTAGAAAAATCACCGTAGCACTTGAGCTAGAAGCCAAGAGAGCAGTTAGCAAAATATTGAAGTATTCTGGCGAGGAACGATAATGAGTAACAACATTCCAGTCTGTAAGTTACTTACCCAGCTGTGACTGTATGTATTTCTTGTCTTGTTCCCAAACGTCTTTAAAGCGAAAGAAGGAATGGGGGAATCTAAAATGTCACTTGAATCCGCTAAAGTGTTGAGATTTTTATGGTTCCTGTCCCAGGTTGTGTTCCTCAAGAAGCGAGCCTTGTGATGGAGATCAGGGTGCAAGAGGCCTACTGGGGAGTGTTCTTGGTATCAGGACCTGGGCCTGGGAACAGAGGGAAGTAGGATAGGGCAGAGGGAGAAGTTAGGCTGCCGTGCAGTCTAAGAAAGGCCTGGCCGACTCTCTGTCCCCAACGAGGAGTTCGTTCTTTCTACAAACATCACTCAGTTCCTACCCTTCGCTTGGCAGTATACGAGGCCCGCTGGGTGATAGAAACTAAGACAGTTACCTAGGTAGAGTTAAGACAGTAAAAAAATATCAGTAAGACAGTTGCCTAGGTAGACAGTTACCTAGGTAGAGAACTATAAAGAAAGCCATGATTAGGAACATTTAAGTGATCTAGCAGGGGACTCTTCGGTTAGTCATTTGACAGATGAAGATTTTATATGCCTTCAGTTTTATGTAATAATGGCAGTAGTTACTGAACACTTAGTATGAGCTGAGTGCATTATTGTGTTCATTATGTCTGTTAAATAATTTAACCCTCACAACAAGTTCCTTAGTGGTAAGTCTTGTTTTCCTCAGTTTTGTAGTAGATGAAACTGAGATGCCCAGCATCAGTAACTTGCCCAGGATCTCAGAGCTGCTTGGAATCTGGCCAGGAAACAGTCCATGATAATCCAGTGAAGTCACCCTGTGCTTATTGATGCTGCATATTCTGAAATAACTTTAGGAAAGTCAGTTTTCCAATTATGCAACATAGAAGAAGGTATTATTTGATAAAAAATGATCTTTTAATAAAGATGACTTCAAGCTGTTTCTGATTATATGCTTTATATAAGCATAAAGTTGGATTTAAAATTAGAATATGACTCAATTATAGAAAATTGTCATGTTCTCTATAATTGATGTCTGCTCTCTGCCTCTTTTTTTTTACCTTTTAGAATAAATCTGCACTTTTGTTCATTCTTTCTTGTATTAGTGAACTATACCTGAATGAGTACTGTATAGTAAAAGCAAAATTTTGTTCCACTGTTATGAGAAAAGCTATAGAAGTAACCTCTAATGTGACTTTTTTCTTTTGGAAGTTTTACCATATAGTCTAGAAGTAAGGGGAAAATAAATAAAATCCCTCGTTAAGTTTATAATAATAAAAAAAACATGGTAAGCATAATAAAAAGAATTATTTCTCATTTACGGTTTTTCTCATTGGTGAGTTCATCAGCCTAATGCACAGCTTTATTAACTGGTCTTTTGGGTCTCTAACAATGTCCTATGTATTTCAAGTTTCATAAACATCTCTGCCCCCAGGCAGCAAGTTAATAATGTGAATCTATACTGTGCCGAGATTAATGTTTTATCTTTTTCCTGGGTATATTTTATGTGCTTGCCTCGTAGGCCTGTAATTTATTCCCATAACTTTATTGTATATTGTAGCGACTGATGAAAAACAACCCTTCAAAGATAATATGCGTAAAAAGCGTATGATTTTTATAGCATAGTTTACAATAATGTATTTATGTGTATCATCATTTATTCAAAATTTTTTGAGTATCTGCTGCTGTTGTTCTAAGTGTCTTCATGGAGTTCACATTCCAGTGGAGAGAGAAAGATGATAAATAAAAAGCTAAAACATGCAGTGTATCAGCAGTAATTGGGGTGGTGGTGAGGGGAGACAGTGGTGGAGCTCCAGAAGGAGAAGAGAGGGCTCTGGGATGGGTCAGGGTGGGAAGCACTTTAAAATAGAGCAGTCAAGGAAGGCTTCATTGATGAGAAATTGAGCCAAGTCTGAAGGATGTGACAAGTGAGCCGTGCATTTGTCCTAGCTTTAAAATGGTTGCACATTTATATCCTACCAGCCATGTGGGTGGATTCCTTTTATAAATTTTCTGTGTCATCACTTATATGCTAATGTAGTTTCAGGGAATCACATGTCAAAGGACTTTGTAGCATGCAGTCTATATGCCAAACAAATGTATGCTGTTTTTCTGTCTAACTGACCTTTTTCTGACATGTGGGCCAATTTCTGATTTGCTTAGGATAGGGAAGCGTGTTGAAAGTAAAGCAGTATATATACTCTGCTATTTAATATTTTCTTTTAAAACCTTACAAAGAACTACCTAAACAATACATGAATTCTTCATTCATATATGAAAATCTTTTGATTTTTTGTCAAAATAAGTTTCAAGAAAATTTATTCTGTTTCATGAGAACATTTAAAATTCTAATCAGATGTTCAATTATCTCTTAGATGAGAAAGAAGAGGGTATTCTGGGAAGCATACTGTTGCCTAGTTTTCAGATAGCTATGCTTACCTCCGAGGATCACATCAATCGCAAATATGCTTTTAAGGTAAGGAAATAATCATACTTTTTTATTCTGTATTTGAATCTTGCACTGATTAAAAAGTGGATATTGACCATGGATTATTACAAAAAGATATTTTAGTAACAGTTATTTTTATATTAAAGACATAATAGTGGTCTTTGGGTCGAGGAGGAGAGTGTCCCTTTAATTAGGCAGTACGTGCTCAAATATTTAGGGGCCAAGGGTCTTTTATGTCTCTACTTTCAAATGGTTCTAGTTAAAGCAAATATGTTAAAATGCTAATAATTGATGGATATAGCTGTAGGTATCCTGGTGATCATTGTACTATTCCTGAAAGGTTACTGTATGTTTGAATATTTTCATAGTAAATTTGGGGGTGGTGTGTTATTTAACAATAATACATGTGCATTCATGATTTTATAGGATATTTACAAAGATATTCTTGGGTCTAAGTACTTCATGAACATCAGATAGTTTTGAGAGAATATTGCAGTTGAAACATTAAATCTATGACTAAATCTAAGCAGACCTGAGCCTCCCTCCCCTAAGTAACAATACCCACCCATCTCTGCATCTCTGTGATGTGCTGGCTTGTAGAGCACCCTCAAGTAAGAGGCCCCTTGAACGCTCAGTTGGTTATTTTTGTTTTCAAAGACCATACTGCATTCTTTGCTTTATGATTATGGCTGAAATAAATTTCAGAAGTCACCTATTTTTTTTAAATCAGTGTTAAATTAAGAACTCTGAAGGGTTTAAATTTTTCATTTTAAGGAAAAGTTGAAATACAAGGGTAACATATGCTGTTATTTAACAATGAAAATGTTTGCACCATTATAAAATTGATTCAATTTTTAATTCCTGTCCACTTTTAAAGAATACTCAGGACTGCAGCTGATTTACAACTTTTGCCAATTAATGTGTTACATTATTAGCTATGGAGAAAAGAGAGGGAAAGGCAGAGTGGTGGGAGGGTGATGGGTGACCTCAAAGAGAATGTAATATCTGAGCAAAGACCAGTGGCTACAAGGGCAGTCGCCACCCATTTCAATAAATGTTATTAACAGTATGAACCAGAGAAATGGAATTAAGTATTTTAAGATGCTATAACAAACTCTAATACTGATAACTTAAAGTAATAACTTTGTAAAATTACATTGCCCAACTCTGTGATACTAACACTGTTATTTGGGCACAGGTTTAAATTTTTTTGTTTGCTCATCAACTTGTCAAATGTTTATGGAATTTGTACTAGTCATAGGACATTTTGCTGGTTCTTAAACTCTAAAAAAACATAGATTTTTAAAAATATATAAATAGAATGTTAAAATAGCAGTAAAAGTGACCATGCGTGTTAAGTATATTGTCTCTGTAATTATTCGGTTTAATCTTGATTGGATTTTATCTATAACGAGGATAATGATTTCTATTTCAAATTCTCTTCTCTGCCATGTTGTTTTCTCTGAATTTATGAGCCACTTTTACTACTAAGTCCGTTGGCACTGATGCTGCTGCTTTCACAGTGGTAAGTAGAAGCTATAGACAATTGTTGAACAAAACTGTGGAACTTAAAGCTAAATCAGGAACTTTGCCATCATCTTGTAAATATTCCCGTTTGACGGATCACAAGCTTGGGTGTGGTTTGTTAGTGTCTTGAGTCCTGGCTACACCTGGGTCTTCTGAGCACCAGCCCAGTGTTCCTTCCGTTGATCACAGATAGGGGCAGTGGTCTTCATCCATTTCTCCAAAACCCCACTCAGCCAGTCCAGTGACTCTTGGTGGTGGTTTTAATCATTTTAACAACTGGTGGCATTTGAGCTGTTTCTTTCACGTGGTTTCCGTAGATAGGGTTACATCCCTTACGTGGTCAAGTGAGATTTGTTGGTTCTGTAAGTTAATTTGCTCACTGTGTTGATTGAATTTATTTATATCCTGATTCTGAAAAAGATTCTGAAGCAGCTAATTTGACATTGTAAGTAAAGCAGATAGATAGTCAAGATCTCTGAGTGAAGTGTGTGGCTCCAGATTTACTCCTCTCGTCTCTTTAGACTAACTCTGTGCTTAGTGCCCTTCCTTCTGCCTCATTCTATGCTGAAATAGCTTTTGTTTCTCTTTCCTTGTCCTTCAGTGTCTACCAGGGAGCTGTCACAGGCATTCTTAAATGGAAATTAAGAATGGTTCCCCCCACAGAATTCCCCCACCCTGGCCTTTGTTTTCTTTCTTTCTTTTTTTTTCCCCCTTCTTTTTTAAAGAAATTTTATTGAAGTCTAGTTGATCTAACCATGTTGTGTTAATCTGGCTTTGTTTTCTGCTCTGATGTAGCTACTGCTGCTGTCCATCTTTGCGCTGCAGGCCCAGGGCTAAGCTGAGCACTCAGTGCTTGAACGTGGGTAGCTATCCGTCAGCAGCGACTTCTTTGTGTTGTTTTCTGTTTCTCTGGATAGAGGCAGATTGCCACCATAAAGAAAGAAACCTACTTACCAGTTATATAGGCCTCAAACCCAGTGTATTTACATTTTAACTCTGAAACTTGAGAAGAAAAGCTAAAGGGCAGTGCCATTTTGGGTCATTTATAGATCTTTTATGTTTGTGTATAGATGTCTGTAAGGATTAGTCAAAATGCTTTAAACAGCAGCACCTTTTAAGGGCTAAAGGAACTGGTAACACAGGAGGGAAATGCTATGACATGTACATTTCAATGACTTGTGTTGCTGGTTGCTCTGGAACATTCTTGAATAGAAAGATGTGAATTGTAGTAAATGGAAATTGCTAGGGATGTGTGCATGGAACAGGGACGGCCAGCTGCTTCCTTTCTTACCTCTTTCCCCTCCTATACATCTTTTTTTTTTTTTTTAAGAAAAAGAAAAATGGTAAAGTTAGGAGAAAAAATATAATATGTATATATTTTTCAATATTGAATTGTATTTTTCTTAAGTCCCTCATTTCTATATCGGTATGTAAGACAAGTCTGCTTTCTTTGAAATTGGATAGTAATGATCTGTGTAGAGAGCCACTGAACTCTCTTTCTTTTCCTTTTACAGATACCATATTTCTATTTAAAATGATCGTGCCATTTTCAATCAGGCAGCCCATCCAAACATGCGGACCTATTATTTCTGCACTGACACAGGAAAGGAAATGGAGTTGTGGATGAAAGCCATGTTAGATGCTGCCCTGGTACAGACAGAACCTGTGAAAAGGTAAAGGCTTCTAGGGAAAATAATGGTGATTTCCACTTACATTTTATTCCATGCCTTGCAAGTATGTCATTATCATAGTACATATCATTTTAGTAGTCATGATATGAAACCACTTCTTCCTCAGAAAGCAAGGAGTAATTCATGTTTTATATTAAACTAATACACCTTTAGTTAGTTTGAAATACCACCTGCATTTTTATTCCACCTTCCCTCTTTATTCATTTTCACCTATCAGTGTACTGAGGTGAATGCAGAATCCTAACATTCCAACTGAACGTTCTTTCTTCTTACACAATTACGTTTAATTTCCGGTAAGTATATTTTCAATTGTTATCTTAAAAGTACACAAGACAGTGTTTTTTAAGGTTCTGAATCTTAGAAGGGAATTTATATTCATGAAGTTAATTTCATTGTGTTTTTATATTATGTTGGATGTTTTTCAAGTTTAATAAATTAAAATAAAATTTTTTGATGAGTTTCATTTCTTTGGCATTTCTGGGTTAATTCTGATTGTTTTATGATGAATGTCTCCAGAAAATAGTTCATCAAGCATTTAGATTATTTCTAAATATATCTACTTCTTGATGAATTCTACCTTCTTTCTTTTAAAACTCCAGGGCTTAGATTCTTCGGTAATATAAATATGTACTGTTAAAATTGATCTAAGTGTGATTTTTTTCCCCTGCTTTAACATATGAATCATTTTAATATTTGACTATATTAAGAACTAGTGAGGGCTCCCCTGGTGGCGCAGTGGTTGAGAGTCCACCTGCCGATGCAGGGGACACGGGTTCGTGCCCCGGTCCGGGAAGATCCCACATGCCGCGGAGCAGCTGGGCCCGTGAGCCATGGTCGCTGAGCCTGCGCGTCCGGAGCCTGTGCTCTGCAACGGGAGAGGCCACAACAGTGAGAGGCCCGTGTACCGCAAAAAAAAAAAAAAAGAACTAGTGAGAGGAAATCTGTTTCTAAAATATGTAAATAGCAGATGAATAATGGGCTTACAACATTTTTGTTATATATTCCTATAATTTGAAGAAAGATCTATGATACAGTTAAATTTTTCTTCCAGTCAGCAACAATTGAGCGCATATCTCATATAAGGAAGATTGCTAACTTGCAAATTTGATCTTTTTGCTCTCTTCTCAGGAAATTATATGATTGTTACATTGTAAATCTCTTTTTTTTTTAAAGTGTACCTGTTAATAAAGTCTTTTGACTGTGTTGGTTAAAAGACTCAAGTTGATGCTATATAAGTAAATTTGTGTTTATTTTTTAAAGTATCTATTCCAAATTAACTAATCACTAGTAATTAGAGCTAGGGAAAAGTATGGAGAAAAAAAGGAAAGAAGGTCCAGGGTTGAACTCTGGGACACCTATTTTTAAGAGTAACCACCTCGGGGCTTCCCTGGTGGCGCAGTGGTTGAGAATCCGCCTGCCAATGCAGGGGACACAGGTTTGAGCCCTGGTCCGGGAAGATCCCACATGCCACGGAGCAACTAAACCCGTGCACCACAACTACTGAAGCCCATGAGCCACAACTACTAAATTCCGCGCTCCTAGAGCCCATGCTTCACAACAAGAGAAGCCACTGCAGTGAGAAGCCCACACGCTGCAGTGAAGAATAACCCCCGCTCGGCACAACTACTGAGCCTGTGCTTTAGAGCCAGTGCGCCGCAACTACTGAAGCCCATGAGCCACAACTAGTGAGCCCACGAGCCACAACTACTGAAGCCCACGTGCCTAGAGCCCGTGCTCCGCAACAAGAGAAGCCACCGCAATGAGAAGCTGGCGCACTGCAACAAAGAGTAGCCCCCGCTCGCTGCAACTAGAGAAAGCCTATGCACAGCAACGAAGACCCAGTGCAGCCAAAAATTGATTAATTAATTAATTTTTAAAAAAAGGGAGAGTAACCACCTCAACCGTATACATTTTCTGGGTTGAGAGCTAATAAAAGGAAAATCTGCTTTTGGAATTCCATGTGTAAAAGCGACCTGAATGGATGTAAAAATGAGGTGATTATGATTGACAGCTAGAGAAAATTTGTAGGTGAAAAAAATTCATTGAAAATCTTAAGATAATATTAACTTAAGAGTAGAATTTTCAGGGAATTGTTTAGAATACAGAAATCAATATAATAATTAAGATATATGATTGCCAGGTAATTTCAGTATTGTGTGTTCACTTATCCCAGAATTTCAACTTCCATTTTCTTTTCTTGTATTTTCCACTCTAAAAACTACTCATAATTTATGGTGATAAAGATGATATTCAATATTTTGTTTTGACTGTGACAACTATTCGTTGATTATGTTCTCACAGCAATTTTTAGCCAGTTGTGTTGATATAATTTGCCCTATTAGCCAGGAATTGTTGAATACCACCTAATGGCCCAACCTGGTGTCAGTCGCCATTATCCTCTAGAAATTATATCCTTTATTCTACTTCTAGCTCTTAGCATTTTTATTCTGCCTTGGTAGTCTTAATCATTCAATATGAAGGTACCTAATTACTATGCTATTTCATTTCATAAGATGGGGAGATTTTGTTTAATTGGTTTTAAGGTATTGGGCTCTTTTTCCCGTGTGGCCAGAATACTTACAAATGTTTATCACGGCATATCACCTAAAAGATAGAACATCCAGTTTTTAACTAGATAGTTCATTTCTTCTAAATTTATAAAGTATTTAACCTATGAACTACAATGTCATTGTCCCCAAGTGTGCAGAACCTTGATGGCATTAAAAAATCTAAGCATAATATACATTCTCTGAATAATTTCCATCTCTGGGCCCATTATTTTCATTTTCTATATTTGCATGTATTTTCTGCAGTAACTTAAATGTCACTTTTTAAAATTGGATCACAAGTTTTACATTATTTATGTTATCTTAGCATACATTTCTGAATCAGTTTTGGTTCCACTTAGAGAAAAGTCAGCATGTGTCTTTTTTGATTACATCTCTTAAATCTCTGAGAAAAAAACTGAGGAAAAAGTCATTGTAGTTCTAATTTAAAATAATAGCTTTTGGTAGACAAGAGGTAACTAGTTTTAAAAATCCTTTTCAGATATTTGATATTCAATGTTAAAAAATCCTCCCCACCCCTGAATTTAGCACGGATAAATGTGCTTTTAGTATAGATCTTCTCTTTTATCTTTCAAGGGAAAGAAGCTCTATAGCATATCTTAGTAAACTTTAACAGTGTCTGATATTCCTTCCAACCTGGAAGCTATGAGTTTTATCTAACATAAATATATGGATAGTCCATAACTGTACTCCAAAGGAAATAGTCACATTTCCTTTTATTTTTTCTCACTGATTGTATTCCTAACTAGCTATCTCTGTATAGCTGTATAGGATATGTATAGATTATGTATTTTCTACACATCACTGAAACCGGCAGCAATAGCACACTTAGGATCCAATAGGAGCATTATTATGTATTGAAATGTGCAAGGTTGGCCAGTTCCCAAGAGGGGCCTCCCTGGTGTGGTATGATCTTGGCAATTTCGTGCAGGTTCAGACACTCAGCTTGGTCTTGTCAGATCCTGGAAGTGATTGGTCTCAGGGAAGCTGATTCTCATCAACAAGACCCAGATATAGCAGCTGGCATGGTGAGCAGTAAAACTGCCCAGTGGCCCAGGCACATACTGCTGAGCAGCCCATTCTTCCTGCGGTGATGTGGACACGAGATGCCAGATTCGAATCCACAATTGCTTGATGAGATGGAATGGTAGTGGTAATAAAGTCTGTGGCAGCCACTGACTTACTCATCTAGTCCTCACAACAATCTTGTCTCCTTGGTGCTACAATTTTCCCCATTCACCACAGAGAAGATTGAGGCTTGGTCAGTTTCTGCACCTTGCCCAAAACACAGCTAGTAAGAGGTAGAGCTGTCAGCTGAGCACATGCAGTCTGGCTCCAAGAGCTCTTACCTGAAACTCAGGTCCTCTTGAACACAGACACAGAGAGTTAATCAGTCGTAGGGTTCAGATCTTTGATAGCATCAGAATGTAATTTCCGTTTCCACAAACCAGAGTCATGTTTGTCTCCTGGTGAGTTAACCCTCCTGGCTGGAAACCATGTTATTTCAAATGACTAGTTACTGTGGTCTTTTAAGTGTGGATTTTTGTGGTTTCACTGTCAAAGGGCAATCTTATTTGCTTTCTTTCCAGATTTCTAATGGTGGGGACACTCATCACTTTTTTTCCTCTAGTGCTTTATACGCTGTATATTTTAGGTTTAATTTTTTTCCTCTTTCTATTTATACATTCTGGTGTCGTACTTGAATTTTCATACTACAATACTGGGGATTTGTGCAGACTTCTCTGTGACCATTTCGGGGTTTTTTTTTTGGTAAAGTCGAAGATAATTTTATGTTTTTCCTAGATTGAATCCCAGAAATAACATGTGCATTACTTCATCTGATTTACTCTGGCTTTCTTCTCTGATTTCAGAGTGGATAAGATTACATCTGAGAATGCACCAACTAAAGAAATCAATAACTTTCCCAACCATAGAGTGCTAATTAAACCAGAGGTCCAAAATAACCAGAAAAACAAGGAAATGAGCAAAAATGAAGAAAAAAAGGCATTAGAAGCTGAAAGATATGGATTTCAGAAGGATGGCCAAGATAGACCTTTAACAAAAATTAATAGTGTAAAATTGAATTCTCTGTCGTCTGAATATGAGAGCGGGTCAACGTGCCCGGGTCAGACTGGACACTACAGGCCAGTCAATGTGAATAGTTCAGAGAACAAAACGGTCAATGTTAGCCTGGCAGACCTTAGAGGTGGAAGTCACCCCAGTACAGGGCCCTTACACACAGAGGCTGATCGAGTCATACAGAGAACGAATTCAATGCAACAGCTGGAACAGTGGATTAAAATCCAGAAGGGGAGAGGTCATGAAGAAGAAACCAGGGGGTAAGTGTCTTGTTATGTGTTGTGAACCCAGGTTTCTTTCCTGTTATGTTGGTGGGAGACTGATTTCTGAGATACCAATTCAAAGTATTAAGTTCGAATTGCGTTTGAGATATTACAGCTTCATTACTTATCTTTTTTTGATGGTAATCAGATATCAGTGTTTTTTCTCTGCCTCTCAGTGTTCTGTCATCCAACTTTACTAATAGCAAGGAGTCATCCTCCTTGGCCCAGCACAAGAGAAGGCATAGGCTGTGGGTACAGATCATGTTTGTTTGGGATGAGGAAAGTCGCAAGACCTAGCCTCACCCCTCTACATGCACACGTGCGTGCACGCGTACACACACACGCACACACACACAGTGAGAACTTGTCTTCACTCTCCCCACCGCCCTGCTGTTTTCCACTAGTAACTTTTGCAGCTTGATGTAATACAAAGCTCTCCTGAGACATGTAACGTGGAGACCAGAAAGGCTTAGGCTCTCTAGTTCTCAGTCTCATTCCTTGGCTTTCTTAAACTCATAATGCACATGGCTAAGTATTATATTTATTCATCTAAGCATTTATTCATTCATGTACACATTTGTTCTTTCATATACTTATAGTATAACTACTCTATGGTAATCATGGGGCCAGAAAGTGAAACGCTGACAAGATATAGTCCAGATTTCTCACAAAGGTTCTTAGTCCAGTAGAGGAGAAAGTTAAACAAACAGGTACAGTATATGGTGACAAATACAGTGATGGAAGAACAGGATGCTGTAAGAAGATGTTTCAGGGACAACCAACACAACCTAAGGGTTCAGGAAAACCTCTTTGGAGGAAGTGAAATATGGAGCAAGATATGAAGGATGGTATGCTTATCTTGGTTTATATATGCAAAACTGATAGAGCTGGGAAAGGACTCCGAAGACATGAGTCTGGCTTAGGCACAACTGCTGTGATGATGGATGGGAAGCGCGGCTGGAGAGAGAAGCCAGAGGAGATGTGTGCAGATCGGTGTTTCAGCAGCATCATCCCTGCTGCAGAATCTGGAGAATGAATTGGAGAAAGTTCAGAAACTATTGGAATGAGTGAAACGAGGAGAGGAAGGGGATGTATTCACGATACAATTGACAAGGCTAGTTGGGTGCTTGGATGTGCTTGATTGCAAACTGGCCTCACTCAAGTCTAATGTGAGCGGCTGGGGGAAATCTAGAATGACGCCCTGCTTTTTGGTCTGGTCATCAGTCGTTGTCCGGTGCCTTTCACTGCATAGAGAAGGTTTGGGAAGAGAGAGGGTAATGAGTGATTGGACAGGTTAGATCTGAGGTGCCTGCAGTCTGTATCTCCAGAGAGAGATCTGGACTTGAATAAGATTTGGGGTGTCATCATTATATCAGATATACTTAAAGGTAAGGATGAAAATCAGAAAGAACATTTACATTTAAAGGGAAAAAAAAAGGATGGTGGGCCTGCAAAGGAGACCAAAAATAAGGGCTAGAGGAAACGGAGGAAAAGCAGGTGATTGTGGATGAGAAAAAGTGTTGTGTTGTGTTGTTAGGTGGGAAGCTGGTGATGCAAGATTTATAACGTACTTTAATGAACTAACATAGTAAAATTAACTGCAGACTTACTGTAACTCTTACCTCTCGATAGTAGGAAACCAGAAAGCAACGAGTTACTAATGTTTTGGTTAAAAGGAGATGAACTTTTGTAATAGTGGAATGTCCTTCTGGTCTGGGTGGCTGTCTGCCAGTCTCTTCTCTCAGGAGTGCAGCTCAGCCAGGGCTGCAAAACCCGACTCCCGTGATTCAGTTGCTCACTTCCGTTTTCTTCTCCTCCACCCTCGGTGATCACTTTTCTAATTTTCTCAAGGGACAAATTGTGAGAAACAGTTGCTGTTTCAAAAATAAAATTTGATTAGAAGAAAAGCCAGAGGTAGTTCTGGGCGGTGGGGGGGAAGAAAGGATGTTTGAAAGTACTTATAAAGGTAATTGTTTTCAGGGAAACAATAATAAAAATCCCAGCCAGAAGATTTGCTGCATCTCTACCCAGCAGATTAAATCTCACTTCTCAATAGAAGCAGTTTTCCTCAAATAAAATCATACTTTCTTAAGGTTGAATGGGTATAGTTAAAGGGGTTCAGTATCTGGAAGTTAATTTTTTTTAATTGTTGAGCATAAGTATTAGTTTTCAAGCACTTGTTAAAGCCCTTGGTTGAGTATAATTAACACACATAAAGGCTCTTTATTTTGACTGCAGACCTTCAGCAGCTTCTGAAGGCTAGTCTTAGGTTATTTCGAGCTAAAGTTTTCTCCACGTTGCTCCTCCAGCTTCAGCTTCACTCACTGGAGTCCAGTTTGGATCACTGAAATAGATCATCTACATTATCATATGAACTTCATGCTTAAGAAACAGTTGCGAGGTTTTATAATGAAATCATTTTTATTGGTGGGAAGAAGCATGATAGTAATACATGGTATAATTGGTTTTGTGAAACTTTATGAAAGGCTGGCTTTTATTCCTAAAGTTCTGATAGAAAGAATAGAGGTTTAATATGTAGTCATATAGTAGATGCCTGCATCTGTGAGCAGAGCCTGAAAGTTCCTTTGTGAGTAGCGGGCACCGTTGAGATGCCGGGAGCCTAAGCCATTGTTCCGCGTGGCAGAATCACAGGTCAGGGTTTTCATGGTGTTTGACAGGCAACTGCTGGTGAATGGAGCACTAAACCTGATGAAGGCACTTACAAAGTTCGTTTCTTAAGCTTTCACTTAAAAGTAAATCACACTTGGCTTAATTTGAATTTCTTTGGGGAAAACCACTGAAGGAGAATGTAGTTTTTTTTAAAAAGAGGTCTCAAAATGGTAGAAAGTATATGGGATAAAAATAAATACACTTGATGACAACCAGATTTTCCATTAAAATTCTCCAAAAGGAGTTCGAAAGATGGCAGAAGAGCCTTTTATACTTTGTGATCCCTAACTAGCCAAACTTGGTAGGAAAATAGCCTGTTGTTAATGATCACATGGTAAGTGTTCAACTTCAACATCCATCTCTGCCACAGGTTCCAGCTCACGCGTTATGAATGCTTGGGTTTTGTGTAATCAGATTTTCTGAACTGGAATTTAAACATTAGTCCACAGGCAGTTTTTCATGTATTTAAGATCGAAAATGTGTGTCCCCTCTTTATGTGATTATATATGATCTTTTTACAGATTTCCAAATAGGGTCTAAAGTTAATATTATTTATGTTCTCAGTATATGCTTCTATGATATAGTTCTATGCCTAATCCAGAGCTTCTTGCACAGCAAGGTCTCTATAATATTTCTTGAGTTTATGAATGGCCAAATAAACCAACGTATGTTGGAGTACGTTGCTTGAGTGCTAGGGCAGAATTTCTTGGATGGAATCATCTTCTCCCTGTCTGACACGCTTCCTAAGCACATAGCTGTGGGGTTGCCAGCTCTGGACTTTTTCCAGTTTCTGGCTTAACGGAGAAGGTAGGAATAGGAAGGGAGACCAAGCAGGGGAAAATTAGGACATGTACGTGAAGATAAAGCAGCAAAAGATTAAATTCTTTCTACTGCTTATATCAGAGTATCATTGGGTACTTGCCTCCCTCACTTCAGCCCAAAAGTCTTCAGATGGTTGGCCCCTGTGTAGTGGTTCTTGCGGTGGAGGTATGGGAAGGAGGGTGACGGGGATAAATTTTGAGCAAGCCTGTTTTAAATCAAGACATTAAAAAGCCGAGGGATGATCAGCATGATGAAGGAAATTCAGTTCAGGGGAATGGTTGAAGAAATTGGAAGTATTTCAAGTACAATATAAGACATGGGATTTTAGAGTTGTAAGACCACTCTGTGATCAAATTATCTTCTAGATGAGAAAGCCGAATCCCAAAACGTTTCAGTTGGCCAGATATCAGTAGCATGTGAAGGACTCTAGCACTTTTAAGTTTATGCCCTTCCTTATTTAGGGGTATCTTTTTATCTTTAAGTATATCATTGCAATAGAATAGTAAAGTTTTTAAAAAAATAATTTTCATACTTTTGGCACAAATTTTAAAATAGAAAGTTGATAACCCCAAGTATTAAAAGGAGTATGATCTCTCGGTCTTCGCCACACACACACTTGAACATGCTCTTAGTCCCAGAGGTGTAACTTTTCTAAGGTCTCCGCACTTAGTGGGAAAGCAAGAATGAAAGCTTGGCCCTCCTGGTTTTTGATCAACTGCTTTTCCCTACTTGACTAATAATGAAGTTCACTAATATTAAAACATTGTAAAATTCCAGAGATTTGCAGTTTTGTATCTGAAATATTATACTGGAAGTATTTTGTCTTTAAATAATTAAATTTTGAGCTTTGGCTTCAAGTCATTTTTATTTCTCAAATTAAGAAAAGTTATCAAGGGAAATTATTCCTTCAAGCCACAAATGTACTGATTGATGTACTTCTTCCCGTAAACAGTCATGATCTCAGAAGGCCATGGTACAATAGAGCATCACCACCTACAGTCCTTCATTTCCTGTCTTCACACTCTTAGGCACAACTCAAAAACTCTAGTGTTCCATCCACATGCAGAAACCCTATTTAACTATTCTGGTGAGATGTGTGAAGATGAGATTGTAGGAGTTTATTTATATAAAATCAAATAAGATATGAGGACAGACTTGAGATCTTGAACATTCTTATTTTTGAAAAAAGTTTAATACTCTTCTTTCTTGCAATAAAACTGTACCTTGTGTGGAACTAATAGTCTTATGTGAGTGACATAGATGCTGTTCACTTAATATATTAAATCCATTGAATTTCATAAAAAGATTAAAATCTGTTCATTAATCACTTGTACCCTGTATAATATTTTGGTCTTTAAAAAAAATAAGTCCTAAGTATATATTTTACCTACCAAGAGGAAAAAAAAATTTTACTCTAATTTAGAATCTGGGAAACAACTCTCCTTCATTTTTACGTTCCAATTGTTCTTTTATTTCAGAGTAATCTCTTACCAAACATTACCAAGAAATATGCCAAGCCACAGAGCCCATATCGTGGCCCGCTACCCTGAAGGCTATAGAACACTCCCAAGAAACAGCAAGACCCGGCCGGAAAGTATCTGCAGCATAACTCCTTCCGTTCACGACAAGACAGCTGGGCCTGCGGCCGAAGAGAAGCGGAGATCCATGAGAGACGACACCATGTGGCAGCTTTATGAGTGGCAGCAGCGTCAGTTTTATAACAAGCAGGGCACCCTCCCTCGCCATGGCACCCTGACCAGTCCTAAAACCATGGTTAATATTTCTGACCAGACAATGCACTCCATCCCCACATCACCTTCCCACGGCTCCATAGCTGCTTATCAGGGCTACTCCCCTCAGCGAACCTACAGATCAGAAGTGTCTTCACCAATTCAGAGGGGAGATGTGACGATAGACCGCAGGCACCGGGCCCATCACCCCAAGGTAAGACGTCTGCTCATCCAGGGTTCACTGCTCCTCCAGGGATGCTGCGTTTTACTTCTAGTACACGTCTCTCTCTCTCTGAATGGGAGAGACAAGAACATGGGGAGGAGGTAGGCAAGGCCAGCTCTTATTTTGTTTTAAAAATTAAGGAAGAGTATTCTGCAGTGTCAGAATCTCATGTAGAAAACCTAAAGCTTGCAGTGCTTCATCTCTCAGGAGCAGCTCTTTGGAACAGATGTATTATGTATTCTTCCCTGCTTGATAGCATGTCTCATCAGCTTTCTCTGTAGGTTAAGACCACACATATTTTGATTGGCCCTTCATACACTCAAATTCTACGCCCACCCTCTTCTAGCATCCCTGCAGTCTTGTGTGAGGCCCTTCATGTTCTTTGCTAAGATAAAAGTGCTAACCTCAGGACTTTCCTGGTGGCGCAGTGGTTAAGAATCCACCTGCCAGTGCAGGCGACCCAGGTTCCAGCCCTGGTCGAGGAAGATCCCACATCCTGCAGAGCAACTAAGCCCGTGAGCCACAGCTACTGAGCCTGCGCTCTAGAGCCCGCAAGCCACACTGCTGAGACTGCGTGCTGCAACTACTGAAGCCCGTGCACCTAGAGCCTGTGCTCTGCAACAAGAGAAGCCTGCGCACCGCAACGAATAGTAGCCCCCGCTTGCTGCAACTAGAGAAAAGCCCGCGCGAAGACCCAACACAGCCAAAATTGAAATAGATAAATTAATTTTTTTTTTTTTTAAAAAAGTGCTAACCATATCTTCTAACCAGCGGAAGATATGGCATATTGAAATACTCCTCAGGTGCCCAATTGCATATTAAAGTAACAATGCTTACTGATATATATCCTTTTTTTTGCTCAGCGGCCATGGCTCACGGGCCCAGCCGCTCCGCATCATGTGGGATCTTCCCGGACCGGGGCATGAACCCATGTCCCCTGCATCAGCAGGCGGACTCTCAACCACTGCGCCACCAGGAAAGCCCACTTTTTTTTTTTTTTTTTTTTTTTTTTTTGTCCATGCCTCGTGGCTTGCGGGATTTTAGTTCCCTGACCAGGGATCAAACCCATGCCCTCATCAGTGAAAACGAGGAGTCCTAACCACTGGACTGCCAGGGAATTCTCTACATATACTTTTTAAAAAATTAAGTTATAGAGATCATGCTTTAATTTGCACCTTAAGTTGGTATAAGCCTTGCTTAGTAGATTTTTTGAAGTGAATTCGAGTGCTTTGCATCAATCAGCTTTTCATAATGCTGAAGCAGTTGTTTTGATCCGTCACCCTATGTGCAGCTGGGTCTCTAATGTCTGTCCTAAAGTGAAAAGGAATTTTCCTGTCACTTTCTTTTTAATTCTAAAGAACACCTTGCTTTATTCCATTTTGAAAAGCACCTTTTCTTATCCTTGCGATGGGCTGACTCCTTCAGTTACCGCATTGCATATGCTTGATTTTTCCATAAGTAAGCATTAGTTAGAAATTAACAAGTCAATCAGGAATTTTCTTCTGGAGGAAGCTTTAGTTTGTCTCACCAGAAAAAGCTCACTTTGAACTCTGCTGTAGCAAAGGTCAATATTTTGTCACTTCGTACATCCAAAGACTAATAAAAATAGTAACAGTATTCAAGAGAAATCTGATCTAATACAAATTATTAGTGCGTGGTTGATGAGTGTTTTCATGGCCAAAATTCATCATCTCTTACAACAGCAGTTATGAGATGCGTGTGTGCTCTCTGGCCAGTTTTCCCAGTCAACTAAACATCTCCTCCTCCCGAAAAACTTCTCCAACATGCCAGTTTTTCTTTCAAACTGTCCCATCATCTTCCTTGATGTGATCAGTGGTTCTCAAAGTAGGGTTCATGGACCCTTAGGGAGTACCTGGGGGGGTACCTGAGGGTCCCCATGACCCTTTCAGGGAGCCTGTAAGTAAGCTCAGAATTATTTTTATAATAATAATAAGGCATTATTCATTGTGTTACCATTTTCTAGTAGTGCGAAAGCAACAGTGGGTAAAAGTACTAGCACCTTAGCCTAAGTCAAGGGAATGGCTCAGACTATACTAGTGGTCATTGTAATGCTTCACTGCCACAGACTTGCCTTAAAAATAAATCCCTTTGATGAAACAGTAAAAGATAATTTTATTCAATCTTGACTTTTCATTCCATAGCATTTTAACATTCTGTGTGATGAAATGGGAAATGTACTTAAAGCATTTCTCTTTGCATACCAAAGTGCTAATAGTTGTCTCAGGGAAAAACACTTGAGTGGTTATTTGAGTTGCCAGCAGAACTAGCTCCGTTTTTGTTTTTGTTTTTGTTTTTCAGCCTCTAAGTTTTTATTAACATGGGTTTTCAAAAATAAGCATCCAGGGACTTCCCTGGTGGTGCAGTGGATATGACTATGCGCTCCTAGTACAGGGGGCCTGGGTTCGATCCCTGTTCAGGGAACTAGATCCCACTTGCATGCCACAACTAAGAGCCCGCCTGCCGCAACTAAGGAGTCTGCGAGCCTCAACTAAGACCCAGCACAACCAAGTAAATAAAATAAATAATTATTTTTTTAAAAAAAACAACAAACAAGCATCCATACTAGTGTTGTAGGATGAGGGTGGGAGAAGAAATTCTGCTGTATTGGTAATAAGGCTCCAGGTTCATCCCGTCATGGATCTCATAGTCCCCCAGAGACACGTGGTCCTTAAAAATCATGTACCACTTCTTCAAAACAATCTTGTTCCAATGGGTGCCAGTTTGGGCTGCAATCAGCTTCAAAGGTCCCCAATGGTGTCATCAGTATTGCATTTAACTCGGACCTTCGTCCCTAGACGGTCGTTGCAGACAACCTCGATCATCCTGGCTGGAACTCGAATCACCCAGAACCGTCTGATGCCACAAGCTTCTCACTCTAGTGCAGAGCCCAGGCCTTTTTTTCTTCTTCTTTCTTTCTCTCTTCTTCTTCTTGTTTTTTTTTTTAATGAAACACCATTTTTACTTGAAAGAACGAATGCCAAACTATAGTTGTTCAGACTTGGTATTTGACAGACACTTCCTCAGAGTGAAACGTTAGCCTGTCACTTCAAGGAAAGCAACCCACAGTACCTGTCACCGACCACAACATTTGAGCTTTCAAGCAAAAATTAGAATTTTGGAAATCTTGTATCTGCCTCTGTGAGCTTGACAGCTCTCTGGTGCTTAAAGATCAATGATGGTATTAACAGACAGGCGCTACTGATCGTGTAGGCTAACATGTGCCAGCATTTGGAACATCTGCATAACCCACTGAGCCAGTGTTTTCCGCATGGCCAGTGTTTGATGTCTCAAAATCGTGGATGGGTAAAAGATTCCTTTAAAGTGCAAATAGACCAATGAATGGATGTCAATGTGACAGAGTACAAAAAGTTCATTGATACGGTTTCAGACACCACTTCGCAACTAACCTTTAAGAAAGTACCACTTTTTGACCTTTAGTGCAGTATCAAAGAACATCTGCAGATATCCAAAAAAGCTATTCAAGTTCTCTTCCCTTTTCCAATTACATATATCGAAGGTGGCTTTTCTTCATGTACTTCCCCTAAAAGAGATGATCACAACAGATCGAACACAGAGGCAGATATGAAAATCCAGCCAGACATTAAAGAGATTTGCAAAACTGTAAAATAATGCCACTCTTGTCACTAAAATCTCCTTTTTAAGGATGTAAAGGGCTCCTGGGACCAATACGTTTGAGAACCACTGAGCCATACTGTATGGAATTACTCTGTTCATCAGTGTCTGTATTTTAGTCCTGAAGTTTTAGTATCTGTCTTCTTTCATAAGCACCAATAGCAATTTTAAGTGACATTTTATAATATAATTTTCATCACTGACATTGACCACAGAATTTATACTGTGCCTTCATCTTCCTAGCACGTGTATGTGCCCGACAGGAGGTCAATGCCTGCTGGCCTAACCTTACAGTCCGTTAGCCCCCAGAGCCTCCAAGGCAAAACGGTGAGTACCATATCTTTATTTACCATATCATGTTTTATTTATGTGCTACCCATGATAGCACACATCTGACATAGCTTTTAAGTTTGAGTTTTCAGAGAGGTGCCTCCCAGAGAAAAACCATTACTAGTTTTGTGGAACAGATGCTCGTCAGTAGGATTTGGAATCATGTCGCCATTTCAGTGTCTTCCTGATACCTTTCCCTGAACGTCTGACCGCCTCAATACAAGATTCTGTTTTCCAGAATCTTTATAACCTGGGAGGGTGTCTTTACTTTATAACCTGGGAGGGTTTCTTTACTTCATTGAATGTTAATATCCTCTTCCTTAAAACGGAAGTTGGAGTAGTTCCTTAGGGAAACAAATCCAGCAAGCAACTCTGTGTCTATAGTCAAACCACAGGCCTGTCAAGTTTCTCCTCTGGATTTTTATATAGATTAACTACCTTAGAGCAGAAAATAAACCGATTTACATATTTATGCAGAGAAAGACTGTTAGAAATACTAAGTTCAAGCAAGTACTTTATCATTTCATAGTCAGTGTTATTCCTATTCACATTGGAAAGGAGTTATGTTACCAGGACACTATTACTCTTCAAATTAAAGAGAAAAGGTGACTTTTCATCACTTCATTTTATTTTAATGGCATTCTTTTATCAGGGGAACTATGCTTTCATATTAGTAGGTGGTCTTAATTTCTGTAAAGATATGATTTGAGGACCATACAGTTGTTCATTATTTAAAATCCTCTTCCTGCAGTAATCAAAACAAGTTTATCTTCTATGTATTTTTCAAACATTGTTTTATTTCATCTCTTACATGCTTAGATATGAGGCAGATTTCTTGGCTTTAAACTGCTTGTGGTTTACTTATTAAAGGCGATAGATATTGCTTGACTATAACTAAAAATTCTTAACTGTTGGAAATTTTAAACATTAGATCATTGATCAGGCAAACAGACCTTAATCATAAGATAATGCTAAGTATCATATTATGAAAGTTTCTCTTCTACCTTGCTCCCTCTAGTGGATATTTAGGACAAAATTTATTTACCACCTCCTCCTTTTGGAGGAATCATTTGTGCCTCTTTTTATTTTGCCTCAAATTTCAACATCTAGCAAACTTATTGTAATCTTTCATGCTTTTGAAAATCTGTTTAACTCCGTAAGTAATAAAGAGTTTTAAGGTTTCTTCTTTTAGTATTTCTGTCACATATCCCTCTGGGTCTTAGACTATCTAATCCCTTACCCCACTCTCCTTTCTCTCTGGCAAGACCTCTAGAGCTTGATATGACGACATAAGATATGGACTGTCTCACAGTCATGAGGTCACAAGATGTGGTTGGCCTCAGAGCAAAAGCATCTCTTCTTTTCGTGTTAAGAAGTTTCTTCTTTAAGTCACATATGCACACACATTCTCTTGACTGTTAAGAATCTATTGTCTCCTCTGTGTGGACACTCAGAGAATCCAATAGTAACTATGGTTTACTTCTGACATTTTTTCCTCTTGAAGGCAATAACCTTTAATGTAACTTCAAGTAACAGTTAAAATTGATTTCTAACAGATACAGACTACTATACATAAAACAGATAAGTAACAAGGATTTACTGTATAACACAGGAAACTATTCAATATCTTGTAATAACCTATAATGGAAAATAATCTAAAATATATATATATATGTAACTGAATCACTTTGCCATATACCTGCAACTAACATAAAAATCAACTATACTTCCAGTTTCTAAAAAGTGATTTGTGACCCTAAAAAAATTTTTTTTTTTATGGAAAATAAAGAGCAACAGCAAATGAACAGAACAGAAGAGAGCTAAGTGTAGCGCTGTGCTGTCGGCAAAACAAGTCAATCTCGGGAACGCTTTTCGGCTCGGAAGTTTTAAGAGCACAGCTGTAGCTCTTAAGTGAACAGAGTCTCCCTGTGGTCTCTGTGCAGTTTTTAATCATAACAAAGATCAGTCAAACACCGAATGATATTTTATGGCCTGTAAGACTGCCAATGACCATACTTTACTGCATTTCTAACGAAAAAAAGTATATCGGATTGGCCTGTTAAGGAATTGTATCTACCTTTGAAAGTTTATTCCCCTCAGAGATCAGAGTAACCAATCAGGAACCAAAAGGTTCTCTGCTCTCCGCCAAGGGTGGAAGGAGGGTTTATGCGCACATGGAAACTTTCTGTGTGTAGTAAATACATTTTTTTCTTCCTTAAAAATAAAAACTGGTCTTTTGGTCAATATAAAATATCCTGTGAAAACACTAACAGTGACATTTAAAAATATAACTGGGAAGCAGTTAATAGATCTCAGGTACTGACTGAGCTTAATGATGGGAAGATGCCATCCAAGTTTTACATGAATTTTAATTCTTTTTGTTTACCTTCTGTTCTCTAAGATAGAGTGTTGGGCATGCAGGTATTGTTCTATTGCTATAAAAGTCTTAGGTGTCATTTTTAAACATCTCATTAAAATGTATTTTAATAATAGCTCTCTTGTACAAACCTTTATAATGGTGGGGGGTTCTTTGGCATTGCAGTTCTTTATACTTAAGATTTAAATATTCTCTCATGAGTTCTGAGAAAATGCCTTAATAGACTGTTATTTTGCTGTATCTTACCAAATAATACTGTTCCTTCTATTTCTCTAGATATCTATGCATTTATGTATGACCTATCATCATAGTGCCTAGGTACTATGTTTGATGTCAACCATAAGAGGATACTTGCCAAGAAATCTTGGTTTAATATCTGTCACTTAAGACCACAATTAATCTGTTTTCCACTGTTTGGATTCTTAAATTGTACTCCTTCAGCCAGAGGAGCTTACGCTGCTGCTTATAAAGCTGAGACGGCAGCAAGCGGAACTGAGTAGTATCCGGGAGCACACGTTAGCACAGCTCATGCAGCTAAAGCTCGAGGCGCACAGCCCAAAGGTCAGCTATGGAGAGATGTGTCTGTGTGTCTGCTCTTGTCACTCACGCTGAGCCATTCATTATTAATCGGTTTGATCAGCGTCATTCCCGTGAGCATGAGCCCATCCCACCACTGCGGCGATGACATCGGGATCTCCTATTGACCCTTTGAGAATTCCCTTGGTTATACGTTATTAAAGGAAAACGTGGGTCGGCTGCATTTCTTCGTAGCCTTCCACCCACCCACTCACCCACCAACTTTTGGTTGTGAGGGAGGAAATGCATGCAGACTTCAGAATACTATTGTCATTCCTCAAACACTAACTTCCACCTCCGGTAAAACAGGTATTGAAGAGTCCCGTCGTTTCCCATAAAGTAATAAGTTGAGAAGTGATTAGCGTTTTAATAGTACTGCCTTTTAAATGTCAAAGATTAATTTCGTGTGTTCTTGATTTTTAAAATGAACACACGTAAACATTTCTCAAAGGGTTTAATAGCCTCTGGTTATATGAGAAACATCCAAAGAAGTAGTAACATATTGCAGAAAAGAATTAACATGTAAAGCTTCTAACCTTGAGTCTGCTAAAGCCATTTGAAGGATTTTTCTGCTTAATGTTTCAGCTTATATGCATGTCTACTTAATTTCTTACAAAGCTAAGTGTAATTTATAATCATTGAATGCATCATCTGTGCCGTTTACAGGGGAGCATGTGTGTGGAAGTCGTTGTGTGCTGTGGTATAATATAGGTTGTGACAAACTACCTGTTTTCCCTGTTTCAAAATTGACCTTTTCATGAATTCCACACCCTCTTTCTCTGTCCGTTTGTACCTTGATTGATGCCTACTAGAATGAAATCCTTTCACATCACCTTCAAAGGAACACCATATATTTGGATCATCAGGTGGGCCTTGAAGAATTTTTCTTACTTATCATACCTTATGTTTTAATGTTTTCAATGTAGTACAATTTTCGGGCTACTCAGATATTTCAGTCATTTTGCGTTAATAGTGTGACTTTTACAAGTGGCAGGCTAAGAGACCCCTCGCCAGGGGAATTCAGGAATACCAGAATAAGCAGGTTAGAAAGGACAGTTGTGGAGATGAGGTGGGATACAGATGCCAGCTCTCTGGAAATTGAGAGCCTGGATTCTCTAGATTTCTTTTTTCTTATCCCAAGAATACTTGTACTTATTGGCTTGTATCAGCTTGGAGGTGACCTAATTAAAGAAATAGGCACCCAGCTGTGAATGCCTTGTTGAAGGCCAGGAGGAGGTGGATGTGGTGCTCTCTGTATTCCCAAGGGGAGGTTAACGATGGGTGAATGTTGAAAAGTGAGTGGAAGTTGATGAACAAGGACTGACACTCCTAAATGTTGGCGTCTATGAACTTCCCTGTTAATATTTAATTTTAATTTGATGAGGATTTTTTATATGTTCTTAAACATAAAATTTCTTCTAGTGGATGCTTTCTTTTTGCATATAAATTAGGCTAGAATTTTCTTTAGCTTGTTTTCAAAACGTTCAAACTTGAATATTTTATCAAATGAAAGAGGTTACTGCGGAAAATGCTGTAAGACAGTATTTACATATTTATATTTGCCCTGTTTGAAACAAAATAATAATGTACTGCTTTAAATTAGTTATATTTAAAGAGGGATTTTGCATTAGGATGACCCTTGAAAGGATGTCAATCATTTTTCTTTTAATTTTTAAAAGAAATATGCTTTTGTTAATTTGTAATTTATTTTCCCACAAAATGTTTTCATCATAGTTTTGCCTTTGGAATGCTTTAGAAATCAGCATTTCATGAATCCAAACTCTAGTCTTCACTTCAGAGACTGGTGCTATTCAATTTAACCACAGTGTACATTATACAATCTAATAAAGACATGTTTGCCAACAAAATAGTAAGATACGCCTTCCCTCAAAATTCCACACTGCCAGAAAGCTTCTAAGATACATGAGGAATAACTTTCTTAAAAGCACCTCTGTCTATAAAGCTAGAGATCGTTCTGACAAACGATGGGATATTACAAAAATTAGGGTTAAAAACGACGATATGAATGTGACTCTGAAGTTATCTAGAATCTCTGGAAATAAACTTAGTGGTTTATTAATCTATTGTTAATTTACTGCTCACCTCAACAAATCAAAACTGGCATTGCAGACACATAAAACTTGAGCAGCTCTTGGGAAAGGACAGGTAAATATATCGAAAAGACCACCATTTGCTAAGATGATGCCTCTCCTCACCTCCCTTTCCCGGATTGAGCTGTTTCTTCCCTTGGCCTTAGTGGCCCAGATCCAGTTGAGGCTTCTGTTCCCGTCCTTTGCTCCCTTGGCAAGGTGACTTCTACAATCTCAACTTTTAGGCGACGCGCTAAGGAGCGCCGCTCTAGAAGGTGGAAAAGGCAAGGAAATGGGATCTCCCCTAGAGCCTCTGAAGGGAGCGTGGCCCTGCCCACACTTTGGTTTTGGCCCATTGAGATGATTTCCGACTTCCAGCCTCCAGAAGTATAAGAGAATAAATGTGTGTTGTCTTTTAATTAATTAATTAAAATTAAAATCTCAACTTTGTATCGATCCTCTCTGTTCTGTCAACATGTCAGCAGAGCTTTTCCAGTAACTCACCTTTTTCTTATATTAGATCCCAAAATAGTTATATTATTCCACTTTTAAAATTTTGTGATAATGAGAAGAATTGTAGAATTTGATTGTTTAAATAATGATTTGCATTGAAATAAGACTATTTCTGATGGCAAAAATTGGACCATTTTTAGATAATAATTAGACAGTGCATAAAAAACATGGTGAGGGCTTTGCCCAGAAACTCAGATATGCCTAAATGTGTACATCCTTAAGGTTTCCTTACGGTTTCCTAAGGAAAAATCTCTCTTTAAATAAATCAAAAAATTTTATGATTTCAAATAATTGCATTTAATATAAATGAAATATTTACCTTTGAACTGTCCTGTATTTTACATCAGTAGTAAGGTTATTAAGTTATGTAGAAAGAATTCTTGGTAATGTTGAATTTTAATGAAATTTTTCACTCAGCTCAAACATTTCCAGCTTTTAATCTTGTTACTGCCAGTAGCCGATTCTAGGTGACCAGGTGTATTTTTATGGGCATTATTGGTTGCCTGGGTTTATAAACTGATTCACGAGTTTTATATAATTATAAATTTGAAAGTAGATTTTAAAACCTGAAAGTCATAGGCTCTGGTCACATTTTACAGAACTGTATATCATACCAAGAGAACAGGTACTAATTGATACTCTTCCAACACTTATTCTGCTTGCTCAAATAAATCATCAGAATAACCTAAGGCCAACATTTAATTGATTTAAATTCTCTTAATCCCTATCACTATTCATGAAAAATAGAACCAAAGGGTAGTCTCTGAGTTACTTCAGAGGTAAATTCATTTCTGATATTATAACAAATAAAAAATAAAAATGCCTTGTCTGAAATTCTGAAGATTTACATATTATACAGTCAATCGAAAACTCTTGTCTTCTGGTGCCATATCACCATCATGAGGACAAGTCATGTACTGAAGTGTTTTTAAAAATAACAAAAGCTATACTAATTATATGGTATAATTTTCTTCTGCTTTTTGTTTTATTCTGAAGTACGCTATTATAGTTTATGTTTTTATAGCCCAGTTAGTAGACTGTTCAATGTCTACATTTCTTAAGATGAGCCTAGGTTTGTCATTTTTATGAATTTTAAGATAAAGCCCCAAAGTATAACCTGTGAAAGTATAATAATCCTAACTGGGTACTTTATGAACCTCATCCAGGTTCTATTTTGAAAATGAATAAATACATAATATATCAGTAACTCATTTTCTTCTCATTTAGCTTAGTCATCACTGAACGTTAGAGAAGCTTTTGGGTACCGTTTAAGTGAAACATGGAAATTTCATCCTACAGTATACCTCTGGAATGGATTTGACATTGTCTTTTCCCTCATTCATTCCTCTACTACCAGAATATAGGAGAGGAGAGAAAGGCCATAAGTGCAATCTTGCAGTGACCCTGTACTTACCAGGAAGTTGGAGTAAATTTGAGATTATCAGCAGTTGTAAGGGCATCCCCTCCTGAAGAATGGAGTGTCCTGTTGCCGTTCTTTGACAGTGAGGGAAAAGAGACTGTCTTGATATATTTTCTTTTTTTCTCAGAAGAGGGCAGATTGAGCATGAGTTTTAGAGCTATATGACCCTGCTGAACATGTATTTGATGACTAGGAGTTCCTAATACTTCGTGGAGCGACGTCCATATCATCTGTTTGAAGCCGGCGTAACAGGTCCCCATAGAAGCTGACTGTTATCAACCTCCTGCTATTCAGCTGGGGCATATATATCCCCTTCAGCAGGTCTAACATGGCGAGTAGGGACTTCATTTTCTTACTCTTGTCCCTTACGAGGATTTCCTCCGGTATCTAGTTCTCGGCTCCTGTAGTCTGGACCAGGACTGGTTGTACTGAGCAAAGGAATGAAGCTGGGATCGTAGAAACTAGAGCAGGGGCTGAGGAGAGGGAACTAGGCAAGGCCTCTGTGGGTGAAGAGGTAGAGCAGGGGCTGGAGCTTCTTCGATCAATCATAAAGGGAGGATTTATAGGATTGGGGAGATGAGGCCATGTTCCCATCCCTTCATCCATCTTCTTCCCTCCGTTTGTTTCTTTCTTCCTCACTTGCTTTTTCTTTCTTTTTCTGTTAGTGATTGAAGAGCAGTTATAAGGGAATTTCTGCCAGCTTTCCATGTAGGCCATGGTAACAGAAAATGAGATGCTTAAGAACTGAGATGAAGAAATGTGTAGGGGGCTCCCCTGGTGGCGCAGTGGTTGAGAGTCCGCCAGCCGATGCAGGGGACGCGGGTTCGTGCCCCGGTCCGCATGTCGCGGAGCGGCTGGGCCCGTGAGCCATGGCCGCTGAGCCTGTGCGTCCGGAGCCTGTGCTCCGCAACGGGAGAGGCCACAGCAGTGAGAGGCCCGTGTACTGCAAAAAAAAAAAAAATTATGACATTCTGCCTCTACCCCTGTCCCTTCAAGAGTCATTGTAGTTAACTGCATCAGAAACAGCTGCATGAGAATGGGAAAGGAAGGGAAATCCCTCAGTCAGTCACACCTGTGTTGGGGATGGCCAAAAGATCTTTGTGAAAAGAATATGACTCTGCTACGGATAATTTTATGAAATTCATTTGCCCCTACCCAGCTGGAGCCATCTTCCTCTGCCTCCCAGCATGGAGCATACCTAAGTCATTTCTGAATTTGGCATCAAATGGTATATTCTTTAACACCAGATGGCTAAAGGACCTTATCCTCAAATTTTCATGGAAAAGCTGGAAGTTTCTCATAACAAACCAGTTTGCCATAGTACAAGAAAGGAAAAATACAGCTCAAGCATACCTGTGGTGTTCTTTGTTGCATGAAAATGTTGAAGGTTAGCAAGTCAGTAGCTCAGCCCTTCTTTTATCAGCACATTTTTTTAAAGTATGAGCAAACGCTTGAGAGAAGAGTCATTTTTGATCATACTAACCTCTAAAACATCTTGAAGAGTAAGCTGAAGTTTCTAATTTGCAAAAGTTTTGTAGTAGCATTCAGGTTTTATAATGTAATTCTTTTATAAAGATTAATATTTTATGAGCCGTGCGCTAAAACTACTAGTGACTTTTGGAAGAAGTCTGATATTCTATTAATATTACTGGTTGCTGTGGACATTGCTCATCAGCATGCTTTCTGTGTCCTTTCAAGAAACCACAATGTAGAAACAGGAACTCTGACCACTTTTAAACATACTTATGCCAAGGGAAATGCAAAAAGGAACAGTTAACTGGGTGTATGTAATTGGTACTGAAACCATTCAAGGTAAAAATCTCAGTACTTTCTTGCCTTTTGT